TGGATAAGCAGAGAATTTTTGCAGATTTTGGATTTCTCTATAGACTAGAACGAAGAATAAAACTTAGCGATCCATTTAATTCGCTTCGAAATTTAAATCGCACTTTACATAAAATTGAGAACTTCAGAAGTTGATTAATCGACAAGATTGAACTTACCCGTCGACGCTGCCATGATCCCTTATAATAGCTGCCGCGACATCCCTCTTGAGACCCCCGTGAAACCAAGGCTGAAGAACATGTATACCGGCATCGAGGCCATGCAGCCTCATCATGGCGCATCCCGGTGGTGTTCTCGAAAACGGTCGCCATCTCCGCCGCCAAACCATGCCTTCATTTTCGGCTATATCCTTGGCTTCCTTGGGATCCTCGACTATCCTGCCCACGCTACCGGTAAAATCCATCGCCACGCGTGATCGTATCGATTCCTGCAAGAAAAAAGAAAATTTCATTCGTAAATTCATCTTGCATTATACTTTCGATAGCTAAAGTTAAAACAAAAAAAATGAACACTTAAATAAAGCCTTTTATATCATTCGATATATAATTGTATATCACTTGATATAAATATTTTATTCTCTTAGAATATTCTGAACATTATTATTATATATTATTATCCACGTATTAGAAAAAATCTTTTATTTAAAAAAAAGAATCGCTGTACTGCCTAAAAAATATAGATGTGGATTTAATGAGGCATCAGTATAATTCTCACCATATGTTAATATTAATATTAACACTAACTTGATGTAGATTAATTAAAGTATTTAATACTATGAGTTTTATTTAAATCCACTTCATGGTGTTTATACCATCATACCATCAATACCATCATGATATAGATTTAAAATCCATGGTGTTAACCATGATAATGTTGATATGAACACCAAAGATTTTAAAGCCACCAGTTGGTATTAATATTAACAGCTACAAGTTAAGAATTATATAGACAATGCATTGTATTAAATTCACACCTATTTTTTTACAGTATGCGATTTTTTAGGGGAGTTTATCATCACGTGAACACATAGATATATTTCCGGTAAACGAAGCGACACACTGAAGTTCGTGCTCAATGATCCCAGGATAAATACGTCCATCTATATACCAAGTATATACGTGAGTTTGAACGTTTCGACATTCATCTCTTGGCAAACGGAAGCCCGTCCTTTACGAGCGAGCACGATGAAGGGGGGACGAACCGTTCCGGGCTGCCGCCGAACGCTTTTATTTGGGATTAGAAACGAGGGTGGTTTCCAGTCCAGTAAATAACTCGTTCTGCAAGTGAGAGAAGGAGAAAGAAGAACGAATTTTCTTTCTGTTTCCATCTCTCTCTCTCTAGTAATCCACGGAATAAACCGCACCTCGCGAATATCCCGTAAAATTATGGTCCAAATACGATACAGCCGGTAACAATCGAAACGATAACTCATCACTGCCTCTCCGGCAATAATTTTCTTCACAAATTCCTCTTCCTGCGATTCCAAAATCGACGATAAAGAACTATCAATGCCGAAATAAACCTCGATATTGCACGATCACGAGAACACCTATGAGATTGAAACACCTTCACAATAATAGAATGTGATTGAGATCCCATGGATGAAGATACCCACAATTTCTAGCATTCGAATATATTCCAGAATCAAATCTACATTTCGAAACGATCCTGAAACTGTGACTTAGATACCTGTCCTATCTAATTTCATACCGATCAAAGCGATAAGATATTCAGACATCTATGTTTCAAAATTTCAGACACAAATTATATCCGGATATTTGAACACAGCGTTATATTGAAAGCGGTGTGGACGTACCCCGAAGGACAATTTGTGTCATCGCATAAGCAACCCCTGCTCCCCTCCTCGCTTTTCAGGTCCTTGATAACGAGCAAAAAGCCAGAGCGCACGTAGTGGATTAGTCGGTCGTTAAAATAAATAGACGCTCGCGGCGCGAGTACGTACGAGGGAGAGAATTACGAGAGAAAGAGATATATATGGGGAGAGAAGGGGTTCGGCGTTCCTCATCAGCCAGAGAATTACCGTAGAGCGAGAACTCGAGGGTGCTTTCAGGAGCCCCCGGAAACCGGGAAAGCCGGTGCGGCCCCGAGCATACGCCCGTAACGTGGCCGGCCGCGATCGATGTTCACCGGCTCTCTCCAGTTCGGCTTGCTCCTTCTCTAAGCCGCTATATGTTCCTTCTCACTCTTTAGAGAGAGAGAGAGAGAGAGAGAGAGAGAGGAGAGGGACAGAGAAAGATAGAAGTATCCTTGCAATAGGCTTTCGTCCTGGTGTGGCCTTGACACCGGAGTGACCCGATATACTCGCAATTTAGAAACTATCTGCCAAACACACAAAAGGGAAACAGTCGTATATCTTATATGTATAAAATATCATTCTTTCATTGTTATTTCTTACAATTTAATAATGATGTAATTATATATTACAAACATATATATAATTATACAATTATATAATATACGGAGGAGGGGAGGAGAGCTTTCTAAATAAAACATGTAAAAATGTAAATATATATATATTTTTTAATCTACTTTTTAGAAATTTTTCACGAGTTTCAAGAAGAAATGCATCCTAGAATATTTATCGTTATTCGTTCTCTCTTGTTCGCTATTGATATTAAAGAGTAATAAAGGAGATATAAGGTGTTGAGTATCGCAAATACAACAGGAAGTTAATAACGACGTGTACCATCAGGAAGACTTCCGCAGGTAAATTGATTTTTAAGTGGTACACTGTACGATATCAGGACGAACGTTTAGCGGCATTAAAGCCTGGTGGCGCAGCCCAGACCAATCTAAGTCCGGCCACGTGTATATAATATTTTAAGGGATGTCCGACGAGCAAAGTTAACGCGGCGAGCTTCCCGGGTGAGTTTACTACTTCCGGCCTAACTTCGTCGGTTTAAACACATAGAGAAGAGAGAGAGAGAGAGAGAGAGAGAGAGAGAGAGAGAGAGAGAGAGAGAGAGAGAG